AGTTTTAGTAACATTATTGGATATAGGTAGATTGTGATAATAATGGTGAAATTCATCAGGTGTATCTGATTTTGCAAAATTTTAGTAAATCTTTTCTTCTTGCACTTTTTTGTAAGTATTTTCAAAACTTTGTTTCATCCTTTCATGCATCCCTCTGAATAAATACTGTGCGAGTTTGGCATATAAAGTCGAATTCCACCCTCGCTCATTGATAAATTAAATCTATTTTTCTGGTGAAATGTATTTAGGATAGCTGAATCTTTCGATACGTTGTCTATTAGAAAATATAATTCAAATTCGCCTGTTACCACTAATACTTTTATTTACGAATTTTCACATAAAGATTCGCTCGTTACGGCTTAACGAATCACTCGTTACAGCTTGACCAATCACCCGTTGCCTGGCTGGAATGAGGTTTCTAACATTGGGCGAAGAAAAGCCAAATACATGCAACTACATGCGGGAGCCGCTGTCAAAGCTACTAAGTCTAATAAAAAAGACCAGGCTAGACGACATACTCTAAAACAAACGAAGTCCCACAATAGATCTGAAAAGGTCGCGGTGGACAAGGACAAATAATGTTCAACTCCTAATCTAATCACCCCTTACATCTTGACCAATCACTCATCCACCACCGAGATTCGAACATTACGTGTTATTATCTAGTGGTTGTTTAAGGGTAGCTGTATCGCTAAAAGAAAGGGTGACGTAATCATTTCGTGTATTTCGGAACAATCTAGAAAGGCCAGAGACAGCTCTAGTCATAACAAAACAAATGGCGTGGGCACAATGTTGTAATATTTCAACAAATACATTAAACAAAATAAGTAGTGGCAAACCACTCCCGAAATACTGGTACGTTTTCACTCGAAATCAGCGAAATCACTACACATTTTCTCGAAAATTTCAAAATCATGGTCGAAATCAATTCGTCGCTCACAACCGGAAATGGCGAGAAAAAAAGATCATCGTATAAAATTAAGGTGGATTTTCAGTGAAATCACCTAAATTACATAAAAAAATTTTATATGATTTCCGTTTTGACCTTATTGATTTCCCCTCGGTTCTGGCCTTTATCTCGTTTTGGCAGGAACACTATTAAGAATCGGACTAAATATATTTAGCAAAAATAAGTTATGCATATTATCTGGTTTTGGTAGACACACTTATCAATTGAACACAATGTTATATGCCACTCCATCTTGTTTGTCCATATTGTTAATGTATTAACATGGAGTTAGTTTTTATTGGCTATTTGTTTATCATGAATATAGACTTCTTTCACACTTGTAGAAAGTGTACCTACTTAACTCGGAAATTCCAAAAGTGGAGCTTTCTTGTTTTTGCAGTAACCCCACAAAATTTCAAAAGTTTATTTAAAAATTAGCATGCTACTTAGCGCTGCGACCAATAATAGTGTTGCGGGCCACAAAAATAGCTTGGAGGGCCGCATGCGGCCCGCAGGTTGAGTATGGTTGGTCTACACCATACCACTAGATTATTTAAATCAGATTGCAAATTTAAATATTTAAGAAAATAATTGATAATAAGGTAAAATTTTAAATCATCCGCAAATAGGTATTAAGAATTGGGCGAATTTAAAGTACCTGACGATGTCATTAATAAACAAGTTGAAAAGAATGGGACCGAGGTGTGACCCCTAGGTACCCCGGACTTAACAGGTATCTCATTAGAGCAATTATTTTTTATACAAACTATTTGCAGTTTGTCCATGACATAACTCCTAAGCCAACTAAGTAGAGGGTCCAAGAATCCCATCTGCTCCAACTTACAAACCAAAAGAAAATGATTAGCCCTGTCGAATGCTTTGGAAAATTCCGTGTAGATAGCATCTACTTGCTGTTTCTGCTTCACAGCATCGCTCAGGAAGCTGTTATATTTTAATAAATTAATTTCTGTTGATCTACCATTAACAAAGTCAAATTGTTGGTCAACTAAGACTTGTTCTATAAAAGGCTTGATCTGGTCAAAAATAATGCTTTGAAATCATCTTGTTATTGGATTTAAAATTTTGTTCCCTTCTTGACGTTAAAGTTTTTTTAAATAGTTTTAGGCCTTGACTGATTTTCACAATTTGTTAACAAATTTATAAGTTGTCTTTCAGACATGTTCCAATTAATTTATTATTTAGTAATTCCAGAGGCAAGCTCACAAGGCACATCGATTAGTTTTCGACACAAAAAATATCGGCCAGTAATTTTTTTAATTTTTACAAAAAAAATTTAAAATAAACTACCTAAAAATATAACTTTTTTGTCTCTTCATTTTTTTGAGGAAAAAATTAAAACAAATAGTTTTGCACATCTTTGAATACTTATTAAAAATTTTGTAAATGTGTTTGGTAATAAATTATTATTGTTCCAGATTTATAAATATACCTTCATGTTCATGTGCAGAATAGTTGGATGTTAGACATACTCAATACTGAACGTTTGTGTACAATACGTTTTTCTAAAAAATTAATAAATTTTGAGATAACAAAAAATTTTCGGAGGGGGGGAGTCTTCTACACATTTCAGTGTTGATGAAAAATTGGATAAAGTACCTTTAGTTTTCGATAAACTATCAGGTGGTGAAATCCTGACAATATAAACTGATCCACTTTGTATGTTAAAAACGGTAAACTTTTAAAAGGGATTACAAAAAATTGACTACACCACTGGACTGCTATCAACATTTTTATTTATGAAACCAGTTACAAAATGCCTTATTTTTATGTAAGAAGTGAATATTTGCGGTACGAGCAGAGCGAGCAACATGAACGAGTTATATGAAACACCATTTTGTAACGTGTTACATACTATATTTTTTCTAATTTTGACTAGGTTATGTATAAAATTATGTTTTGGTAAAAAATTACTGACGTCTAGGCAACCAATATTACTACTTTCTTGTAATGTTAGTTGCAAATAATTAACTTCATTCTTTTATTGACAAATAGAAAATAATATTAATTTATTCTTAATGACTTGTAGTTTCTTTATATTGTTTGTTAAAGTTATTTAGATGTCAAGAAAGTGGGTTATTTCATCATGTATTGTTTTAATTATTTTGTGCTGATTTAGAATGGAAAATAAGGACCAAAACAACATTATTACTAGGCTGTAAGTTTAATCAAATTCTGTTTTTATAAGTTAATCTACCCTTCTTCTTGTAAAATAATAATGTATATTATTGATTTTAAAACCAAAAAGATCTATTTTTATTTGTTTTCTTTTCGCAACTGGTGAAATAATGTTTCTTTTTTTTTTTTTTTCGAAAACCAGTTTCATAATTTAACATTGTGCAACTGGTTGCATAAAGTAGATCATTATGACACTTACTACGATTACAAAAATGTCACTTTATATGTCAAAATTAGAAAAATATATTTTATATATCATTTATCAATGTTTTTTTATTTTCCTTGTATACTTTCTTACCATCTAATATTTTATAAATGTGATACTTAGTTATGGATTTTTAAGTGATGAAGAAAATTTGATCCAAAATAATTGAGTGAAATGTAAGATACACTTTTTCACATTTATATAACTCTTTTTGGGACACCCTGTATATAGATTCGTTTACATAGTAACTCGTTTAAATTTAAAAATGTGATTTTTGTTTTGTTAACTAAAACTAAAAATGTAAGTATACTTCCTAAACCTGAATTCAAAAAAAAAAAAAAAAAACAAATGAGTGTCATTTCAAGTATTATTTTAATGATAGAAATTTGATCTTTATTTATTAAAGTGTTATTTTTTATGTTGGACTTGTAACATATTTTTGTCCAATATCATCCTTTTTTGTCATTTACCTTGTGATAATGAAACTAGGGCCACGTTAATATCTCTTTTATTCAATAAGTGATTTATTTATATAAAATTTGTAAGAACAATGCCAAAAAGTTTTGATTTTTTAAATGGATTACACTAAAAAAAAAATATGTTTTTGGGGAAAATACATTTGGCAACACTGTCATATGTAATTTGAACATTAGTTTAAAAAAAAAACAGAATACCTATACAGTGTAGACTCCATTCAAAAAATCAAATATAATGACATTTCCTGTAAAATCGAAAGTTGACAATTTTGGTTAACTGTAAGTTTAATTCAAAATCTTGCCTAATAAATTTGGCCCAAATTTTATCCAAATCGCTTCATAAATAAAATAGATATTATTGTGGCCCTGGTCTCATTGTATATCTTCCTTTTGTAAAATTACATCTAATCGATCTAAATTTAATTTGTTTGTAAATGATTTATAAGATCCTAATTGTAAAAAAAATGTATCATAGTCAAAAGAAATTTAGGTTAAAATAGTAACAAAAATAAATTGTAATCAAACAATATATATGCACGATCTTCCTGAACATTGATTCCCCATGGTTTTTTCCTTTCTTCATCTGAAGAGCACTTTATTATGTCACTTTTAAATAAAAATATTTTTAGACTAAATGAGTACCTCGGAGGTAAAATGCACTACGTAGACATACCTACTGTAGTTCTATAAAAGTTATATTTTTAAACTCAGCTCATCCAGCCTTTTCCAGGGATATAATACACTTTGTATTAGTGAGGTACTCAATAAAAGTTGGCAAAAAAAATATATAACACTATGTTCAATAAACTTATGGTGTAAACAACGCTGTGTGCACAGTATTTTTAACTCTTGTTAAATTCTCTAGAAAACATAGAAATGGAGGTATAAGACACCCAAGTCATAGAAAATTTGGTATCCGCACATAGAAATATGTTATAAAAACCAATAACGTATCCAAATAAAAAAAAAGTTTTATTAGATTAGTGAACAATACATAAATATGACAATTTTTAGATCTGACCGCATTTATCGAAAAATATGTAATTATTGAGCATAAAAAGTGTCCAAACATTCAATCTGCTCTACTGAAAAGTTGACTAAAATGACAGTGCAGTTTACCTGGGAGGTATTGAAATATATTCTAGAAACTACATAAATGATAGTTATGAATTACCTTGCTAGTGTTAAATCGTGTTTATGATACTGCATAGCTTTGCCATAATCTCCCAAATAAAAATAGGCATTCCCTAATTGACTGTAAATGGCACTAAGAGTTCTTAAATCGTCAGTGCCTGCTTGAATAGCGGCTTGGAAAAAAGCCACCCCAGCTTTACAATCTCCTGCCTTACAGAGACGTTCTCCTTCCAGAGCCAGTTCCAAACACATACTGCCTGAACCATCATAATCCTTAAAAAAATATGTTATAAGCTTTTTTTAATAACACACTGTTGAAGAGACATAACTATTATCTAAATACATACCTGGACGTCTCCTCCGATATTTTCCACACTTGTGCTAGACATATTTTTTCTAAATATTAACTAAATGGATGATTCACCTACTTTACCTAGATATCAGTGTTTATTTAAGTGAACAAACTGTTGTATTTGGCACAAGGCACAATTTATGATATTTAACAATGTTAACATATATTCATTATCGTTATTATTTGAAAATTGTAATAAGAATTAAATGTTATGGTAAACTTTTAAAACACCCTATTCTTTTTTCATACAAACAAAACTGACATTTTGGTACAGTTCGTTAATCGTATTCAGGTCAATCTGCTATTCTCTATTTTCGTTTATCTAATTGGATTTTCAAATATAGTTTTACTGTTTTCTCTTTCTACAAAGTACAGGGGTGCTATTTTCAAAGTCGAGAGAATTCATTTCTCTCGAGAGAAATGTCATACGTCAACGTAAAACAGTATTTTTAGGGTCCTAAGGGCCAGTGTAAACTCACTGATTGTTTCTCACGGTTTATTTAGAGATAATTAATATCCTCCTAAGAATTTTAATCCTCGAGGCCTTTAAAAACAGCGTTTCCACATTGACGTATGACATTTCTGATGAGAATCTTGAGAGAAATGAGTACTCACACGGTTTGAAAATAGGTCCCCTGTAGTTAAATAGCGAACGTCATTTTTTTGACATTGACACTGTTGATATTTGTATATGACATTTAGGAATGACGGTTTCCACAGGTCAGGCCTTACTTTAATTGTACTGCTGTAGACCAACCCACATACTAGAAAATAAAAGTAGATGAGACCAACCACTGTGGCGCGTTACTATTTTGTTAAGGGTTGGTTCAACATCAAATAAAGTAGCCCGTAATTAATTAATTGCCTATAGCGTGATGGTTGATTTTTGGCTGAGATTACGATTTGAATCAACTTGCTTTAATAAAATTTAAAAAATACAAAAGTTGAAATAGTTTTTTTCGCTTAAATAGTATAATAATTTCTCAACCTCCTTATAAATTGTTGACAAATTTGGCAATTAGTTATTATTTTTAGTAAGGAATATTATTTTTTTATAATTTTAAATTTTATTAGTTATATAGGTACCTATAAGAACACCACATGAGCAGTATGTTATGATAAAATTAGATTAAATTATTATGTAAAACATTTCAAAAAAAAAACGCTAATGTACATATTCATGAAAAGAGTTTCTTCTTTTATCACGTCGACATTCATTTGTTTTTTCTGTAGGTTATATTTTTAAAATGTAATAAAATAGTAGTTAAAATTAGATATGTTAGTTTATACAATATGTTAAATTTTCCGCCCTGTGTCCAAGAGAACGGCATAGAAACACAATGCCTTTGAATAGAGAGAAATAGCATAAATACCTCGTCGCTATATAAGTGTGGATCACAATATTCAATGCTTGCCATCGAAAGGGTATGGTTAAACCAATTACTCTCTTTATCGTTCTCACGTATAAATAAAATTAAGCGTCTCAACCTTATTTTGCATAGTGCGTCGTGTTAACATTGTGTGTATTTTTCATATATTCACAAAAAAAGATTCTTATCTATTTTACTAGTGGGCAAATATATTTTACTGATTGGTCAAATTTATAAAATGCGTGGGTAATAGCCTAAGCAAGCAAATCTTAAAAATGGCTGAGCACAGATCAGACAACTAGTCCACATAGTTCTTAACGTATTTTTGAAGAATCCAAACAAACCTCGAGCTCCATGGAAGCGATGTCTACTTCTATAGAGATGTTACCACTGATCTGTGAATATTACAGGCCAGTGTGGATGTTAGAGACCCTGCTTTTTTCGCTATTTTTTTAGGGAAGACACAGGCACAAGTAAACTCAGTCAAAACTACATACAAGTAAGTACAACAGATCAATTATCAGTCTCGCAAGGCAATCACATTTATTATTGTATGATATCCACGGGATAAGGAGACAACAAATATATAGGTACATAATTTTATTAGTTATTCAACGGTTAGGAAATTAATATTTTTGTGTTAATGTACATGTATTTAAAAGGAAATAAATTATTTGTTTTTATATGTTAGAGACCACGGTGGATGATAATATGTTCATTAAATAACCACGATTCAAACACTTTCAGGGAAAGTTTGTTTTAATTAGAAATATGGTTCATTATTTGAAAGGTATTTTAATTACCTAATCTATCTCATAGATATGGATCTATGATCTATCTATGTCTTTGATTATATAGCAGGTTTTGTATCGTTGCAATCACGTGTTTTGGTGTTTAAAACAGAACGTTGTGCACCATGATGATTATTCATCTCTTTGTCCCTCGTATTCGGAAATATTTCATACTATACCCAGACAGCACACTATAAGTTATTTTTCGCGTCATAAACGGATTATGTTGTTCGATCATGTTCGTCTATCCCCCCACCACATATAGTATATGTTGGCGCGAAAATGAAAAATCCATGCTGTTCTGAAAGTGGGCAGTCAGTTGAAGTAACAATTTTTCATTACTACAATTAATTACTCATGTGTGTGTGTAAACCACAAAACTCGTGTAAAATTCAAGAATCTGAGTTTATTTCAACATCTCTCTTTGTAAAGGATAATATTAGTTCAAAGACATCTAATGCTAATGAATTACCTATTGTTAGTAATAAAGTAACTGATCATTATCTCAATTCTAATACTTATTGTTAAAAGCATCAAAATGTGAAAAATTTATAAATATCTCATAATACATATACATATCTTATATATAATTTTTTTGGGGAAAAGTACTTGAAGAACCTAAGCAAATAAATTTAAATTTACAGTATTTTGTTATGTATGTATTGTTTTTATATTCATGCAATATTTTTGTGCTGTCTGGGTAGTTGTATTAAACTGTGTTTCCTCAATAATTATGTCTTCATCCTGTATAATAAAGGGTAACATTTTTGTAATAGTTTTTCTACCATTAACAGAAAACGGAAACTATATTTGAAAGGGATTTCAGTACAAGGACATATTCATTTTTTGTGTATCAAATCTACTCGTATACTTAATCTTTTATTTACTAAGTCAGTAGAAGTTCGATAAAACCGTCAAAGTAATCATGAAAGTCGTATAAGATACTCGTAAAATTAAAAAAATTGTTGCAATTTAATTCTGTGAATGCTGGTTACATCAGTTGTGTCCACCGTCCTATGAAAGTTCTCCTAATCTCATAATTTGGCGAATAGGGAGAACTCCTCCAACCATGCGGGTACTCGCAATCCATCAAAATATTTTTTGTATTGACTATCTCTAATCTCCATTACTAAACTTTATTAGTTTCTTTTTACAGATATGAACTGTAGTCTATTATTCTTGAATAATTCTAATTTTGTGACCTTTTCTTTTAAATAATTCGAATAAAATATACGTTTTTTTTTATATATTCTTGTATATTTAAAAAAAAACTTGTTTAGCCAATTAGTTCAATACTTTTGAAAGTCTGAAAAATATAAATATACATATAGAAGACGTTAGTGAGTGTGAATCTGATAGTAAGAGTGATGTTTCTGGAAGTTTCCACCTACGGCGCCGTCTCTAAATTATAGCAATAATTGTGCGCTAAAGCTAAGCAAATAATAAAACTCTAGGAACGACTGGAAGCTATTGATAAAACTGCTTTTTTTAACTGGTATCATATTATCATATTTTGTTATACATTTTGTAATAAGAGTTTTGCCTAAGGATGAACACTATTTCTAAACTTCAAATTATTTCCAAAAATGATAAATGGCGTACATAATTTATAACTTATTTTAAGCATTTTAATTTGATTCATTTAAAAATATTTGCGTAGAATCTTCTAGGAATTTTAGCAAAATGTCAAAATAAACCCAAGAATGTTATGATACCAAAAAAACAGGTGTAATTTTTCGTCACAACAGCAAAACAGCATTGTCTGCTCTTTGGTCAGCTTTTTAAATAATATCTATGTCTGGTTCAAAAAATGTTGGCAAGAATCTACTTCCTGCGATATATCAAGATTTATAAACACTGAAAAAATTCTAAAAAAACTGCATATTCCTTTATTAGTAAAGAAGCTAATTTTAATTACAAAGTGTGATTAAAAAATAGTATATTACATACATAACGAGCGGGGAAGTACTCTATTGTACCCGAGCGCCAAGGTAGAGATTACCGAGGTGCGAAGCTGAACGACTATTGAAAAATGTTGGCAAGAAACTACTTCCTGCGATATATCAAGATTTATAAACAATGAAAAAATTCTTAAAAAACTGCATATTCCTTTATTAGTAAAGCAACTAATTAATTTCAAATTGTGATTAAAAAATAGTATATTACATACATAACGAGCGGGGAAGTACTCTATTACAGCTGATCGTGCAAGGTAGAGATTACCGAGGTGCGAAGCTGAACGACTTGCTCTTTTCGTTAGAGTCATTTAGGACTGAAATGACATGCTCTTTGTAATATTCGATGGAAATGTTTTTTTACACCCACATGGATATTATATTAGCTTATCTACATACAGACTATAACACGAAAAAGTATGCTATTGCGTTCAACTGAACGAATATATTTCATATCCATTCTAGGTAGTGAGAACATTGAAAAAAAAAAGAAATCCACCAGTCACCAATAAGTATGATGAATGTCTTTGTATCGGGCTATGAAATAATTCTTGTAAAAATATTTGAGTTGAAAGGATTAAAAAGTTAATAAAGTGTTTTATTTAAAATAATTAATTTAACATACCTCTATACGATTTTATTTACAATCTCCTATTTAATATGATTCAAATAATAATATTGATATGAATTTCTATGATAATTTTATAAAAATATTTAACATAGATACCTGTGAAACCGTTGCTAAGCAATATAACAAGTTGGTTGAATCTAGGTGGTAGGAAAAATATACTGTACAACTCGAGTGGGTTATTTATATCGCACTCTAACGATTGAGCACTCCACCTACTAGACTAGCCGGTAATGACAGATTTTGTGCAACATTTTTTAATATTTAATTTAAGCACCAAGCAAATTTGAATT